CAACCTGGTGGATCAAGGCAAAATATTTTATGTAATCCTTTGGGACACATGTCTTCTCTCCATTTGGCCACTTGGTGTCCTCTTGGTACCAAGGAAAAGCCTATAAATAGGACTCATTTCCCAAGGTTCAACAAGAGGAATTTTCGGGATTTAGGGGAGATACTGCCAATTTGGTACTGTCCAATTTGGTACTGCCATATACTTCTTCTGGAGCTACTTGTTTCACCCTCACCCAGCTACACACTCTTCAACTCCTAGATAATTACTGTTGTTCATTCTCAAGCCACTTCCTCCATCAGTGGATCATTAGCATAGTTTTTCCTCTCTAATCACCCCTCTAACCTCGAAACCCCCTTCCGTTTCGGGCGACTCTGCTGACGAGACTGCTTTGTTGATGGTTCACACCCGCTGTGGCTTACACACTTCACTGAAAAAGATGGCAGGAGATGAAGTTCAGCAACTCCTGCAGCAGCAAGGCCCTTCTAATGGCGGAGCAGCACATGCAAAAGACCATGACCACAATGTTGTGATTCAGGCAATTCAGTCACTCCAGGATACATAGACGGAGATCCTGGTAGCTTTGCAAACTCTCACTGAGCCTATTATGGCCATGGCTTCTCAACCAGCTCCAGTGCACGCACCCCTACCTGTAGCAGTTCCAAACCCATCGCCTAACTTGTTCCCTGAGGTTCGGTCTCCGATCCAAGTGCCTCTGGTGGTATCTCAAGCGAACGGTACAGCCGCCGGCTTAGCTACCCAGGAGCAGACTGGGCCATTCCAGCCCACTTACTTTGTTACTCTAGCCGATGTACAAGCTATGCTCGAGCAAGAGCGCAGCAAGAAACAACTGTCATTTCTCCCAAACCTAGATGTGAAGCCCCCAAACTCTCAAGAGATATTGATGATGCCCTACCCAACTAGGTATACTGTGCCCAAGTTTGTTAAGTTTGATGGAAAACAAGGCAATGCTAGAGAACACATGGTCAGGTTCATTGAAACTCTTGGTGTCCATGGCAGTGACCACTCCTTGCGCCTTCGGGAATTCTCCAAATCACTTACTGAAAGAGCTTACAGTTGGTATGTGAACTTGGCTCCCAACTCGATCAAGAGTTAGGAGGAGATGGTGAACAAGTTCCACACGAAGTTTTTCCATGTCCAAGAGAAAGTTACAACCCTCACCCTCGGACGAGATGTCCAAAAAGAAGATGAAGACATACTGGACTATGTTAAGCGGTTCCAAGACAAGGCTATTGACTGCCATGGTCCAGTGGATGAGGGTCACTTAGTCAGCATATGTGTGGAGGGTGCCATACGCAACTACAAAATTTTCTTGGTAAACCATAATCTTCCTACCTTTTCAGCTTTGATTGAGGCAGCTAGAAACCTCAGTACCACTGACCCTTAACACAGATCTCATGATAGCCACTGCTACTCCCGCAGTGGCACAATTGCTGTGGTAACCTCTGCAGGAGCTATCTAAATATTACTATAAAGTATACATTTTATTTTGCCTATCAATGATTTCATGTTTCTGTCCCAACCATACTCTTTATTTTAGCTATTCATCCAAATACTATTAACTTTATAGAATGTCACGTCAGCAACAAAGATGGAGGGAAATAATCTTAATGATTAAATACATTTTGCCTAGCCTTGAAGGCTAGCTACATGTAACTAGTGAATGTGAGCTGAGCCAAAATGCCTAAGCATATGCCTAGTGCATTGGAGTTGAAAAAAGTGAGTCACATTAGGCATTTTGACTAACAAGCATCATATGCCTAGTGGGTTGGAGATGCTCTTACTCACCCACTTCTCCTAGACTAGGATTTTACACTAGGAACAGACATACTTTTTAGGCTGCTACACTTTTGGAAGCTTAGCGTGTTTGGTTTGTATATATTTTTAGAAAGAAATTTTTAAAAATATGTTTAGTTATAAAAAAATTTTTAAAAAATTTAAAACTATCTCTCTTTATTACATATCAATAAATCATTTTTTTTTTCTTTCCTCTTTATTTTTTAATTATTTTTTTTCACACACATCTACTCAATTACAACAAAATGAGTATTTGGAAAGTGGATTTTTTTGTAAGTTTTTTTAGTTGTAAGATATTATTGGAGAAAAAAATTTGTGTTTGGAAATATAGTTGGATTTTTTGTAGTTGAATGTGATGTTTGTGAGAGAAAAAGTGAAATGATTATGAAGTTTGATATAATATTTTGTTTGAATTTATTTTTTTGGGTTTTGTAACTAATTTGTCTTTTAGTGAAAAAAATAAAAAAAAAATAAAAAACTCAAAAAAATCTTTCCCAAACACCACCAAAATATCAAATTATTCCAAATTTCAAAACTATTTTCAAAATATACACCCAAACAAATCAAAAAATTTCTAAACTATCTAAAAAAAAATTTTGAAAATTTATCTCAAAACACAAGTCAAACACATCCTTAGATAGTGTTTTGTTTTGAAAGATTGAGGGGTGAGATTGGACTGTTAATCCAGACTAATAGTCCGTTGTTTAGTTCAAAATGTTTGCACCGGACTATTAGTCCCAAATCTATTAGACTATTGTATCCTATAGGGGGAGGTGGGACACAAATGGAGGGATAAGGGGAGATGTGCGATTAGGTGGTGAAATGACCATTTTGACCATCTACTATTTAATTATATATTATATTTAGTAAAATTCAATAAAGTTTTAATGTCTCAATTTAAAAATAAAATAAAATAATTTAATTTTTATTGATGTTTTACTTTAAAATTTTGTATATATTTTATTTAATTTCATTATTTAAATTTTAATAGATGTTTTATTTAATTTCATTATTTAATTATTATTATTATTTAAAATAAATTTATTTAAAATTTTAATTAAAAAAATAACTTATATTTTTATTGATATTTTATTTATTTATTTGTGTAAAAAACAAAACAAAATAAAATTTTATTTAATCTAATTAAAAATAATTAAAATATTAAAGATATGTTTAATAGTTCTATTACTAACTAAAAATGGTAAAATAGTCATTTAAACATTTATTATTCTCCATAATATCTCAAACAAACATAGGATTTATATCCTATCCAACCAAATAGTCATTTTCTGACATCTAATCCTATAACTAAACAAATATGGGATACAAATTCAGTCCAACAAAATAGTCCAGAGACAATGTATCCCAAAACTAACAGTGCGGTGGATTCCAATCTCCCCTTATCTAATCCGTCTAAACAAATACACCCTTAAGTGGTGTTTGTTTTGAACGATTTAGGGGTGGAATTAGACTATTAATCCGTCCGGACTAATAGTCCGTTGTTTGGTTCAAAATTTTTGCACCGGACTATTAGTCCCAAATCTATTGCACTAGTGTCCCATGGAAGGAGGTGGGACACAAATGGAGGGACAAGGGAGACATGGGATTTTGGGGTGGTTTGGGATGTTCTAAATAAATATATTTTTTGATTTTTTATAAATAAAAAAAATGTATAGAAAAGTAAAAAAAGTGGTTAAAAAGGTAGAGGGAAAATGTTGATAGATATTGATTGATGTGACCCAAATAAATATATGTATATAAAAAAATATACTTTTTTAAGGGATCTCAAACAAGCACTAGGTGAAATGACCATTTTGACCATCTACTATTTAATTATGTATTATATTTAATAAAATTTAAATGTCTCAATTTAAAAATAAAATAGTTTTATTTAATTTTTATTGATGTTTTATTTATTTAATTTTTTATAGATATTTTATTGATGTTTTATTTTAAAATTTGTTTATATTTTATTTAATTTCATTATTTAAATTTTAATAGATGTTTTATTCAATTTCATTATTTAATTATTATTTTTTTTAAAAAATAAATTTATTTAAAATTTTAATTACAAAATAACATATATTTTTATGGATATTTTATTTATTTTTTAAAAAATAAATTTATTTAATTGCGTAAAAAATAAAATAAAATCAATTTTTATTTAATCTAGTTAAAAATAATTGAAGTATTAAAAATATGTTTAATATTGCTATTACTTAATAAATAATTGAAAAGGATAAAATAGTCATTTGAACATTTATCCTTCTCTACAATATCCTAAACAAGCATAGAATTCATATCCTATCCAACTAAATAATCTTGTCTTGACATTTAATTCCATGACTAAATAAATATGAAATACAAATCCAGTTCAACCAAATAGTTCGGGAACAATGTATCAAAGGACTAACAGTCCAGCAGATTCTAATCTACCATCTATCCAGTCCGTCTAAACAAACACGTCCTTAAAATTTTGTATCTCTAATTCCTCATTCGTTCAATGTTCTTATTTTCTCTAGTTAACTCCATCTAAGATGCGTAAACAAATCTTGTTGCAGGTGCAAAATATGAACTACCAAAGTATGTTCTGAGTGAGCCTACAACCTTTGATCCGAGATATTAGCGGTTGTGCACAAGTCCAAATGTATATAAGTACAGCATTATTTTAAAATTTTCTGAAGTTCACTTTTATGCTATTTCATTTCAATTCACTTTTGGCATTTTGAGACTCACTGTAGTTTTTTAAGTTTAGAAAATGGGAAGCATCAGTTTTTTATTTGCTTCAGTTCATAAAGGTGCTTTTACTTAACAGAAAAAATAAAATAAAATAAAATAGTGTACTGGCTATTCAATGTTTTCCTATTTCTATCCGTTAATGTTGAAACAAAATTCTTGTAGCCAACCTCATGTTTGGGACACAGCATTTTTGAGTTGTGCATCAAGACACTCATAATAGACCAGAATGTTGGACAAGGACACAGCCTTATTGAGTTGTGCAAGTCCTATAAGCCAGGTAACTTCAATATTTGTAAAATGCTGTATAATTTAAATTAAAAATTAAAAAAAAAACTAATTTGTCCGACTACATGCAAAACATTAAAAATAAAATAATACTTGTTCTCTTTTATTTATTGTTCATCTAAACACAACACAACCACATTAATTTGTTTTCTTCTCTTCACTAAAATAAAAAATTCAATTTTGATAATTTCTTTTCTGACCTAATTTACCATTCGGACTGTTAAATTACCATAAGGATTACAGGCTTATTGCTAGACCAGGTAAATATTTGTCCAAGGCATGTGGGCATCATACCATATGAAGCTTTTGGCAGCCCTCCAATTCCAATATTGCAAAGTAACATCTCTAGAGTACCAATGATATTAAACCAAACACAGAAATACCTACACAGCCACCAGTACAAATTTTAGAGAGCAAGAGAAGAAAAGAAGAGAAAAAAAGCAGTTGTATGAGAGCTAGAACCCTATAATTATTCACAAATCAGGCTAGCACATGAACCACCAGCAGACTAAAGCAAAAACACAGGCCATTATCCTGTAGCAATATGGTTAAACTCTCTTGAAGAAAGACATAATGTTTCCTTGTTTAGGATCCTTCACATTTGCTGCTTTCTTGTTTCCAGCTTTGCCACCTGGGTTAGATGGAGCAGTGCCCCCCACAGCTGGTGACTTCTTAGCTGCAGGTGCTGCTGCCCTGTTATTCATAAACCCCAACATTGTGAGAGCTGAGTCACCAATTGAAAGTAAAATTTTGAAAGAAAAAAAAGAACTGAACTGACAAATAGAATATGGCATGCAAAGCATGCAATGAGGTAAAGCTATAGAATTGTCTTCTGTTTACTTATACTGATAGTGAGAGAGAAGAAAATCATGGCTCAAAGAAAAAAGGAAAAAGAAAAGATTGAAGGGCATATAACATTCATGGGTACCTGATCTCAACTTTTTCGAACGATTCTACTGTTTTTAAATGCTAGTTCTGAAAGTTGTAATTGTTTTTCATATAAACATGTTCTATTTTTGTGGTGGGTTAAATTTCTGGTTACAGTCATCTGTCCCTACAATGTTTCATCATTTTGCAACAAACCCCCCACAAAAAAATAAAATAAAATAAATAAAAAGAAAAGAAGAGATAAGAAGAGGTGTGAGCAAGATAAACTAAAAATGAACTAACGAATCAAACAGACAAAAATAGTTAATTACTAAAATGATTACCTGTTGATAGTATTGCTAACTGCGTTGTTGTCTGCTTTCTTCATTGTATTAATATCAGCTTTGGTCTCTGTCTCCCCACCCTCCCAAACAACCTCGGTTACTGAAGCATAATATGCACAAATCAATTGAAAGTGGGTAAAGGACAAACTCAGAAAGAAATAAATACTCTGTTAACAGAGCACAACTTTGAGGGAACAGCATGCCGGAGATGGTTCTGTTTAGAGTTTCTACAGGCATACACATAGAGATATGTTAAAAGTCTTTTGGGGGGACTATCAAGAGTTTTTAGTTGCTTTAATAATTTTAAACAATCCACCTCTAAAGGACAGAGGTCATGACTTGGAACAACGACAAGTGCTATCTGCTCCCAGCACTGTTGCACGGGTTTGACTCACAGCAATCAGCCCCTCCACAAGAAACTGGGGGCAAAGGCTGCCTATCTATTACCTCTCCCAAAACCTGTTATAAGCAGAGCCTTGTGCACTAGGTATAACCACTAAAGCATAAAAATAGGTACAAAACATTCATTTTAAGAAATCTTTCTGATACTCAGAATGTTGTGTGAGAGTCCAGCCTGGATAGATGAGCTGATTCAGCGGGAGGTATTACAAATAACAGTAACAGCATAACCATCATTATTAGTATAAAATATTTACTAAAATGATGCAGGAATTGAAACTTTTCACAACAGAAAGAACTACAAGAAAGCCAAGTAACAAGCCAGGCCTCTTGTACATACCTTCTCTCCCACGTTCATCAATACGTGTCTTTAACACTTTTCTCCTCTTAGGTGAAGTTGAAGCAGCATCAACCACTTTATCCTTTGCATTAACATTATTTTCAGGAAGACTGTGGACCTTGTCTGAAGAGGAAATCTCAGTCTTCCTTTTGCTGACATCTGATGAATCTTCCCTCGATAGTTGGTTAGTTTCCTTGGCTACAGTTTCTTCCTTCACCTTAGGTTTAACAACTTTTTGCATGTCAATATCCATATTGATTTTCTCTGGAATTGGGGATTTAGTCGTTTGTTTGTCCAGAAAAGTTTGAATTTTAGGGGGATCTGGCGATGCTAGATTGACAGCATCTTTATATTCATCATCTTCATCTGAGAAATCGAAAACAACCCTTCTCTTTCTACTGCCTTCACCTTTGGATGCTCTCTTGAAATTAACATCTTGGCCATCATCATCACTACTTGTAGCCTCAATCGCTTCACGAGCACAGATTTGAGCTTCCGCACTAACTAATAACATATTGAAATTTAAAAATAAAATAAATCAGTTAAGAATAGGAACTGAGTGCAGTAACATCTCCAATTAAATTAAGCAGCAAGTACATCCATTACTTTTTAATCACATAGGAAGAGTGTAAATGGAAACCAACCAATAGGGATTGGAACATTAGTTTCTGTGGTGGCACTTTTGGGCTTTGGCTTTGCAGCTGCACGACCCCACATATTTGCTAATGAACCCCCATTTCCTGAAGTGCTTTTATCGTTTTCACTTTTCTTTTTGTTAGCAGGCAATTGAGGAGCTTTTTCTTTATCTGAAGAAGGCTTGCCAGCCTGTTCATGACCTCCACTGACATGACCCTCAGTTTTGATACTTTTTACCACATTGGAAGATTCTAGACCAACCTTAGGGCTTGATTGCTGAACTTTCTTTTGCTGAGGTTGAGAAATAGTTGCCTTTTGAATCATAGAATTACTTCTGGATGGCCCTGCCACCACTGCATTTTTGGGTTGTGGAGCTGCAATGCTTACAGCTGTTCCATCAGCATTGCGCTTGACAAAAGAATTTGAAATTCCGCAGAACCTGAAGAAACAATGCTGTGAGCATCAGGAAAAGAGCAAAAATGTGTTACATGAACTCTATAGATGCACACCTCATCACAGACTGAACGTATAAATTTAAGCACTAGTACACATGTACAGATGTTCCAGTTGTTATGTGCGTGGATATTCAAAGGAATTCTCATAAACCATTGCAGAAAACTATGAACATCAGAATGTGTTTAGTCCTTTCGCAGCCAGAGCATTTTTCAAGTCTGAAAAATGAAAACAGACGAAATTCATAGATCATTTTGCTGTTATTTCATTTTTCATTAGCCAAAAGAAAACGGAAGAAATGCAGGACACTATTTTAATTTTCTTAGATTTCAGAAATGGAGAGCAGTCCCCTTAAAAAACAAAGTAAGTCAGAGAGAGAAATGTTATTTAAGGAAAACAGATATACGTTTAATATACATCTTGGTGTTCTTGATACGTAACATGCCTTAGAGAAAATTGATTTTTGATTTACTAATGGACATGTAGGGCAGCTCCACTAAGATCCACACTTGCCATAAATTTTAATTCAGTGCCTGTGTTATTGGTAACCCAGATATGCAATCAATCACCAAGTGTAGAGGCCTAATAAAGTATGAACAGGATACATGCACAGCTCAAGATTTCATAGTCTCCTTAGAAGCCCAAATTTGCCTGACATAATTTCACTGTAGGAACTGGATACATGCTTTTAATATTTTTTCTTCTACAAATAATAATGATAAAAACTCTCAAACAATAATCAATTTCATCAAAAAAAATTAATGAGCAACATTTAAATATTCTACATGAAACAACAGTCCTCATCACTAAAAATGTAAAGCCATTGCCATGCCATCAACGTAATCATCAAAAAGAACCAACCCAACACCCTACACTAAATTGATGAACTCAAAATGGAAGAACTATACCTGTTATCTCGCAAGCAATTATCAATTGTGGGAGGCTGCCTAAAGAGTTCTTCTGCCTGCACAAATTCAGCATTCCAAAGTGCTGCTGGGTCCTTTGGAATGCAAGCTTGCACACTATACACCTGAACTGAGCAATTGCCATCAAATTCTTGTTTGGATTCTGCAAATAACTCAAGACAAGACAAATACAAATTAACATTTCTTCCCTGCTGTTGGCAACAGGATTATCCACGACTAAGAACTACGGAAACTCATTAAGAAAAACTTCATCTTTCACATTTCTCAGAAGAAAAGAAATACATTTGGATTTCTACCAGGCAGATATTAGAGAATGATAACTGTTAGTTTCAGTACATGGTAGCCCAATTAAATGACAAAAGACAACCTGGTAAAACAGGAAACCCCTACTTATGTTTGCGTAAGAAACAATTTATATTACCTAAATTTCATACTTTTGAGTAAAGAGCAGCAACATTTTAGTCCATATCTAATATCTTCAAACTGCATGTAACTGAAAATTTTAAAGGCTTACATCTTCAAATGTGTACAATATTTGAATTATTATAAGGGCATCCACACTCGATGGAAGTGATGAGTGATATAGTGGTTCAAATTGAAAGCACCAGATTAACAATAGGAGGGTTAAGAATGAGGGTCAAAGAAGTGAGAAGAAACAGAAAGACCAATGTTTTAGGCACTAATGTAAGAGTGAAATTGCAGAAGAGGAACACATGGATAACAATTAATTATCATGGGATGAACATGGCATTCTAATAAAATTTCTAACCTGAAAGTTTAGGCCCAGAAACAAGCCTTATATGGTAAACTGAAGGATTATTCTTCAACCATCCAGACAAAGTATATACTACTTCGAACCCACTTCCATGTTTTTCAACAAATTCTTGTAGCAACCTATATCCAAAACCAGTAAACTTCTATTAGCAAAAAGAAAATACGTATAAATTATAATTTACATGATTACTTCTTATACGAGCTCTTACCTCTTTGACACATTTGAAGGCAGCAAAAAATTACGACTTAGCCACTTGTAGGAAACCTAAGGGAGACAACCATCAACTTAAGAAATTACTAATCAATAAAATATAAGCTCTACACGTTCATAAAACAAGTTAATTGTCTCACATTGAACTTCTAAACAATTGAAAACAAAGAATTTAGAATCTTCCCGCAAAAAAGCAGCAGTGCAAGAGAACTTCAATGCCATTCAATGAGAAAACAACAATACAAGCAAAGACACTCCAAATCAATAAAATAAAATTAACCTGGTGAATGAGGAAGCTTCGAAGCTAAAATGAAAGATGGCCAAAAGTTTTCTCATCGGCAAGATAAAGCAAACAGATTCACATATTGAAAATTTACAGCATAAGCCTATATCTGAATTGTACAACCCACACGAAAAATAACTCAAAAGAAAGAGAAGAGGCGCTGCACCAAGACGCAAGACCAAGATCTTATGCAATAATCATATTAAGCAACACGGTGCAAATGCTAAACTATAATTAGAAGAAAATAGATCACCAGTTGACAATGGTAATGGAAGAAATCGTCAGTGAATCTAGTTTCGGACCTTCTTCAATCAATTGATCGATTCCCGTATGAGTATTAACCAATTCAATACTGTAAACACAAGAAAACCTAAAGAAACAAACGAGAAAAACATCGAAGCACTACAAATAGCAGCAACGTATGAATAATTAGGAAAGTAATACGAACAGGAAGAAGAGCACAGAATTGATGAATCAAATCAACAATATGAGAAGATTTTGAAGAGAAGAGGAACAAGCAATTACAAATCTAACAGAGAGAGAGAGAGAGAGAGGGAGAGAGGTGATACCACTTGAAGTTTATCGGAGACGAGGGCTTGAATCTCTTCGAGGATACCTAGGGTTTCGACTTCGGCCATAGTTCGGGTCCAGAAGAGAGATGGGGTCGAATCGGATCTACTACGATAGCAGTGCTTGCTTGCTAGGGTTCGAATTATGGAACCCAAAATCAGTTTCCCTCCCAAAAAGGGCACCCACTTTCCTTTCCCGCCATTCTCTTTGACGTTTGGGGGTGTTTTGTGTGTTTTTTAAGGAGCTACGGCAAGGACATAATTTGTAAAAAAAATTACAAATATATCATGTGTAAGTTGTTTTCACACTTTTTTTTATCTCTTAATGAACATCAAAACACACTAAAATATAAAATCTTAATTTTCTTTGTATCCCGCCTTTAAAAATACAACTCCGGTTGGTAGTTCGAAATATCAGAGGGTCGAATGGCTCAAAATCTCAAAACGACGTCGTTTTAGGCTTTTTTTATTTTCTCTTACCGGTAAGAGAATATTTTCGACCCATTCGACCCTTCACTTTCGAGCTACCAACCATTTTCCTTAAAAATAATGATTTTCAGTGCACATCTTTTGAGAAAAAAATAAATAAAATCTAGTTTTTTCATTGTTTCTCACTTTTTCTATTGTCTTTTATTACTTACTACACATTCTATTATTTTCTATTACTTGTATAAAATATTTGATATTACTTTATTCTCTAAATTTATATTCCGTTGTTTAAGATTCTTCTCATTCCACACATTTTCTCATAATCAACAAAGTACAACGAACCCAATTGCATAATTTCCACAATGATATCAGCACCTAAAACAACCCTTAACATCATCTGAGAGGGTAATTTTTGGTAAAAATTGGGCCGAGTTATGAGATGGACTTTATAGCCCAAAGTACGAAGGACTGGGTAAAAAGGGCCGAGAAGTTACTCCGGCCCAAGAGAGATAAAGTTACTCCGGCCAAAGGAGATGAAGTTACTTCGGCTCAGGAATTGTAAAGCTACTTTGGTCCGGAAGCAACTTGAAGTTATACCAGTCTTGGAGTTATACCGGTCGCGAATCGTTGGTTCGGTCTAAACCATACCATGAGTTCTATATGGAAAGCCGAGATAGGAAAGAGTAAACGGAAAAACCGAACTAAGGATAGTTCGGCCTACTCTGTGGCTCAGCATAGCCAGGTTTATCTCGGTCGTATGGTAGTTCGGCCATGGTGAAAACCATCCCATTTGGTTTAAGCAGTGGGGGGTGTTAAAGGATAAGCATTATCCTATAGGAGTATAAATCCTATGAGGACTCTGTATGGAGGAATAAAAGTCCTACTGGGATTGTGCCACTCGAAACCTATAAAAGCTCACTGTCACGACCCAAACCCGGCCCTATGGGTTTAGCACCGTAACCGGCCAGTAATCCGGGATTACCGAAGGCCTGCAGAACAGTAATACAGTGAAACAGAGTACAGGGCCTGGCGGAAGCCAATACAGTAAGTAAATAGTGTCCATTGAGCTGTGACAGTCTGTATGCCAAAAAGATTTTTCATGCATTCATACATACACAAACAATACAGTCTATACAAAATTTACAGTCACACAGTACAGGGACCTAATCCCTTGATAACAGTACAGTTAGCAACAAACAGTCTATGCAGTAATCCAAACAGTATGGAGACAGACGGGGGAAACAAACAAAACACCCCAAAGCCATAGCATGGCAACTCGGAACCTCGCAGTGAGGCACAAAGGCTGGCTTGACAAAACTGGAGTCTAACCCACGCTCCTAGCTCCGATCTGGTGGCTGAGCACCTACATATATATATAAACAGTGAGCTAAAGCCCAGTGAATAACATAAAGCGTAAAGGGGTTTAGAATGAATGTCCTTACAGCAATGAAAACAGTTCAATTCAATCAGTATTTCAATTGTTCAGTACAGTAAACAGTCATATGTGGTACATCCATTAGCATAACAGTAACAGTAGGTCTAGAAAGACCGAACAGTAATGATGGCCATCAGTCAGTAAACAGTAGTCGTTCCACGAGGGAACCGACAGAGATCTCTGTAACAGTAACAATACAGTAAACCGTAGGTACTAAGGATGCACAGTACAGTTCAGAAATAAAGGACATACATTCATTCAATAATACCAGTTCAGTAAACAGTTCAGTTCAGTATTCAAAAGATAATCAGTTGAACATATCTTTACACAATTGTTACTCACAGAGTTCTGGGCTACAGTATGCTAGAGCGTGTCGCCGTGTCTCCCCAGTCGCCAACCCTACACAGTTCACAGGTTGAACACACTAAGCTACACAGTTGGGAAAGATAACAACTTAATCCCTAATGCCTCGGTGTGTTCTACATCTATATCCTCAACAAGATGCCTTAAACTAGGCCTAAAGAATGCCTAGAATGGGATGAGGATGCAAAGATGCACATTTAAAGCATTTTCGATTTTCAGAAAAACAGAGTCCCGCTCGAGCGCAGGTTTCCACCCGCTCGAGCGTACAGGCAAACAAAGGTACACGCTCGAGCGTTAAACTTTCCCGCTCGAGCGTACTGTAAAAAGTACTGGATGGGTGAAATTCCTCGCTCGATGCCCGCTCGAGCTTGAGACATGACTTCCGCTCGAGCGGCCCAATCCTCCCGCTCGAGCGGACTGTTAAAACAGTGCAAGATGCTGGAAGCTCGATTTTCCGCTCGAGCGGCACTCCCCCCCGCTCCAAGACGGACACTGAAACTGGAAATCCAGGATATCGAGCTCCAGGTTCAAAACCAGCTCAAAAGCATCAAAAACCAATCCTCTTGGGCCCATTTTTCTGGAAAAACATTTTAAACACAATTAGAATATCATTGTTTCAAGAGTGTCAATTTTAAGAAATCAAAAGCCACAAGGGTGTGTTTAATTCAAATCAATTTTAAACCATTTTTCAAGCCACAGGATAACATGCAAAACATTGCCATGATTCAAACCAATTTCCCAAAGACTATCATTGATGCTCTAAAGAGCCAATCTTTCCAAAAACATTGATGAATCAGGACTACACTCAGACATTGAACAAACATGCTAACATTTTGCTATGAAAACAACTCAAAATCAACCAATACTACCATTGCATGCAAAGATTGGGCTTCAATTCACCATTAATGAATCAAGTTTCATGACTTAGCGCTCTACAATCGACATGAACCATGCATGAATCAACTTAAACACAGAGTCAAAAGGAGTGAAGAGTGTCATACCTAGGTTCCTTTGAATGCAAGTCTAGAAGGTTCAAAATTAAAACAATCCACACTTCAATCTTCAAAGCCAATTCTAGCAATTCCACAATACAAGTTGAACTCAACCTTCTAGCTCGTGCTCATTCATCATATCGGTATGTTGTGCAGGAAGTCGGAAGGAATAAATGTGTTTTGTGAGGTATTTAGGAGATCAAAAAGGCTCAAGTAGTGGCCACTCACGGTGGATGCAATTTGGTAATAAGTCCAATTCATGAAATTGTACCATTAAATCTAATTTAATTCATACCTAATCAGTTTTCAGATAACTTCACCATAAAATTACTATAAATTTATGTTGATCAAGACACGCTAATAAATTTTGGATGCCGACCGATTAGGCCTTCAATTTGCAATTTAAACATACAAACAGGAACAGATAATCAAACAGTCAAACAGATAGGGAATACAATTTAACACACACATACTCAAATCAATTCTGATTTCCAGTTTTTCAGTCCAGTCAGTTCAGTACCTAGGCAGTAATTACAGCATCAGTCTCGTTAACAGTAATTAGCTCGGTTAATAGTCAGTAATCCCGCGTAAACAGTATGCATTGAGGTCGTGTGTGACGACGTGCACAAAACATTCACCTTGGGAGAGAGGTAACACACAATACAATTTTGGCTTCCCATGAATACATTGAGCTTTGTCTATTGTCAAGTTTGCTGACTTAGCATCGGAGAGGTTTCAGGCACACACCCGCCGGCTAGCTCACGTTTTGGTTTTTCACGGTGACAAGCGACGTTCGTACGAGGAGTGGTGGCTTAGTAAAAAACAGATTATACGAGGGAGGATTATTTCTTTCCCGTACAATTTAGGCGCCGTCTTGCGTGGAAAAAACAGACAGAACAAAAACCTCTTAAATTAAAGGTTCTCCCCTTTACAATCAATTGGCACACATTGAAGAATTGCCACAGTCCGCCGTCGACGGACTAACTCCAGATGGGGGCGCAATGGCGTTGAAAAGATTACCTTCTGTCCCCTCCCATGGACAGAACTTGGGCCTCCCAACGACATAACTCCATGAGGGATTACTAGCGGGAAGCGAGAAAATAACAGCCCCCTCGCTCTCGTTCAAAAGCCCTGATAGGCAAAAAGCGAGGATGTGACCCTCAAGCCTGGAAGACCGCGTTGAAAAGCTAAGATTGAATTAATAAAGAAAAAATCGTGCGGACATGAGAGCCTTGCAACACCAGATGAAGAAAAAAGAAGTTGGCGACAGAGAGAGGGCGCAAAAACAAGACGCCCCTCTTCGCCACTCAGAAAAATCGTTAGCAGAGAATACTACACCCTCACAAGGAGAGAGTAGAAGCCCTCAGAACAAGGCGATACTGCAATCATGGTCTATCCAGAACTCGTCCCCCTCACTTTTCCCCCAAGGGGGTCTTAGAGGAGGACGCAAGTCTGAAGAATACACGCAAGGAAGCACATACGTGGCCCTCTCATTCACATCAAAACTAATCTAGACAGACGGAATTCCCATCATCCGATTTACGACTACGTGCTCGAGAGAAAGCACGCATGCAGGAGGATGCCAGGGCACGGGATCGCACAGAGTTTCTGCCTTCAGCTGTTGGCCATCGGACGCATGAAGCTCGAGGTTGCGAATGCCAAATACCGCGGCCCAGCCTACGGAACCAACGGACAACACATAGACAAGGCTACAGACTTCGCCGTTTGTTCCAGCATCAAAAACGCACCCCTCCATCAGGCTTCCTTCAGCCCAAATTCACCACATATAAAAGGCGGAAGACGGATTCCTTACTCACACTTGAGCCACTTTCGCCAAGTCATGGCCCGTTTACAGTGCGAAACAAGGCCTTAATGTGCAATACTCTTCCCATCAAGTCCTGGCGACCTAGGCTTGACTTGATTCGACGAAACTTCCGAAGCAGCATAAGCCCTCTTGGCACAATTGCAGAAGCCTTTGTGACAAACGTTTCCTGAACAAACACTAAAAACGTGGAGATCGATAGCTACTCTCCA